TGTTGTTAATAAAAAGATCTAAAAAAATTAATTAAAAAAAACGGAGTGCTGGCTCTACAGCCCACACATCAGACCGGCCCACCAGGAAATCTCCAGACTCTCCCACAGCCTTGCTGGACCTGAGTTTAATTCGCTCGTGACAAATTCCTCCATTTCTCACCATTTCAGTCATGGCATCAACGGAGGAGGAAGAGATCACTGCCTCTTGGCAAAAAAACAAGAGAAAAGGCCAGATCAGGGATGAAGAAGGGGAATTTAATACATTGGTGTCGCATACAAAACAGTCCGTCGCTGGGCAGTTTATTGTGTGACACCGCATACGCGTATGCGGTCGTAAAAATTTGAGCTTTGCATGGACATGCCCTGGGGGGTACGCTCGTACGTCCGCGTACATATGTGCGTACCTCTGCGTATGGAAGAACGCGGGAGTATACTGGGGGCTTTAGACTGCATAATCGTCATCATGAGTTTACATGAAGCTTGGCGGTCTGGCTCATGGTTCCAACCATTATACCTTCAAAGTGAACATAATAAATATCTAAGCATAATCACTGGACAGAACAGTGCCAAATACCTAAGTAACAGAAAATATTTAAAAGTTATTTACCGATAAACCCCAGTCTTATCTAGGTCATGTGACCAGAAGTCGAATACAGTGCCTGGCCAAAAAAATAATAATTTGCGACCTTGATTTAACTAAGCAAATAGGTACGAGCCTCCTATTCAATAATTACTGCATGGACTATTATCTTTCAGCTGACAACAAGTTACTTAACCCCAACTGGTGCAATGAGTTGCTTTTCATTTCCTAAACAATCCTGTCGAAAGACAAATCGTGTGATTGTGGAAAAGATGTCGGTCTGTTTGAGAAGGGTCAAATCAACGGCATGCAACAAGCAGAGAAAACATCTAAGGAGATGTCCACCCCTGTCCACCGCATTATTAAAAACTGGAAGGATAGTGGGGACCCATCGTCTTCAATGAAGAAATGTGGCCGGAAAAAAATCCTGAATGATCGTGATTGGCGATTAATGTTTGGTGAAATCAAATCAAAGAAAGACAACAGTAGCACTCAGGGCTATGTTTAATAGTGAAAGTAAGAGCATTTCCACATGCACAATGCGAAGGGAACTCAAGGAATTGGGACTGAACAGCTGTGTAGCCTTAAGAAAACCACTAATCAGTGAGGCTAACCAGAAAAAAGGCGTCAATTTGCCATTTTCCTATATGGTTCCTATAATTTGGGAGCATAAAGATTGGACTGTGGAGCAATGGAAGAAGGTCATGTGGTCTGATGAGTCCAAACTTACCCTGTTCCAGAGTGATGGGCGCATCAGGGTAAGAAGAGAAGCAGGTGAAGTGATGCACCCATCATGCCTAGTGCCTACTGTACAAGCCTGTGGGGGCAGGGCTATGATCTGGGGTTGCTGCAGTTGGTCAGGTCTAGGTTCAGCAACAGTATGTGCTCAAAGAATGAGGTCAGCTGACTACCTGAATATACTGAATGACGGGGTTATTCAGCTGTGGCTGAGCGGTTAGAACAGCCGTCCTCCAATGCGAGAGTTAGGAGTTCGAATCCACCAGCAGTCACATGTCAAAGTGTCCCTGGGCAAGACACTGAACCCCTCATAGCCTCGGATGTGTGTCCCGTCAGTGTGTGAAAGTGATCTAAAGCACTGATTAGTCTCTTTAGAATGATTTGTTCAATTAGCTTTGTAGAGATCTAGTAGAGTGCTGTATGAATGGATAAATGAGGACACAGATTGTAGTGTAAAATGCTTTGAGTATCTTGAAATAAGATAGAAAGGTGCTGTATAAATACAGTCCATAAGTACAGTCCATTAATGGATTTTTTCTTCCCTGATGGCACGGACATATTCCAAGATGACAATACCAGGATTCACTGGGCTCTAATTGTGAAAGAGTGATTCTGGGAGCATGAGACATCATTTTCACACATGGATTGGCCACCACAGAGTCCAGACCTTAACCCCATTGAGAATCTTTGGGATGTGTTGGAGAAGGCTTTGTGCAGTGGTCAGAATCTGCCATCATCAATGCAAGATCTTGGTGAAAATTTAACGCAACACTGCATGGTTTTAGATCTTGTGACACTGCAGAAGCTTATCGAAACAATGCCACAGCGGATGCATGCCGTAATCAAAGCTAAAAGTGGTCCAACAAAATGTTAGTGGGTGACCTTTTTTTGGTGGCAACTTTTTTTTTTTGGCCAGGCAGTGTAAGTACCGGTAGAATGTGGTAAATATTCATTAAATTAGTACCATTTATTTTAATTGATTTTATTGATTAAACACCTTTGTTAACAACTGCTGTTTTTAAATGTACTTTCTAAATAAATTTGATGTGATTCTCCTCAGCAGAGCTCATGAGGAGGAAGAGCTCCTCCCTCCCTGTTCTTTTTTTTCCTCTCGTTGTCTCCTCCGCTCTGTTTAATGCCACTGTTTAAGCTTAAATGAGATACTGGTATTTAAACACATACCGGTATTTACTGTACACAGAAAGATTTTTAAAAAACTTTTATTTAAATATGTACCAGTCTTGACTGACTGCTTTAAAAATAAATCTGACAACTTCTCCACAGTGTGCTCTCATGGACGGAAAGGGGAGGGAGGAAGACTCCATCTGTTTCTCCGCTTCATGTTCAGATGTGACTTTAAAATGCGACCCCGGTATATAAATGCATATTTACTGACACAGAAAGATGTCACACAGAATATCCTGATGCGTGCTCAATAATCCAGGTAGAAAAATCCAAAAAAGTTAAATCTGGTCCTCTGGACCAGATTTAACTTTTAAAAAGCACAGACCCAGCTGCTGAATGAACGGGTGAGACAGACCAATTTTAATATTGAGGCCTTGAAGGCCAAAGAAGAGCACATTAAACAGAAACTAACTATGTGTCTAGATCAGACCACACTTCAGCAAGTGTTGGACTGTACAGATCAGGCACGCTTAGCACAGCAGGTCAAGTCCAAGACTCGACAACAAAACAAGTTTAACTTACTAATAACTCATCAACACCATCATTATTCCAATAACAACACATTCAGTGTAGGACAACACTCCCGTAGTCAATTACATGCCAGGGAGACAGAAAAGTGGGTGAAGAATTTATCTGACAGACAGCTCACCCAGCCGGAGACAGAGATTCTCGCCAGGGGACTGAACTTTGCAGTTGCACCAAGTAGAATTCCTTTGGTGGAGATGATCACAGCAACAGAATAAGCCATCCGCAACAACAAAATTAAAGAGGCTGAAGCAGAACAGCTCAGAATCAAAGTTTCATCCTGCCTCAGCAATGCCAAACCACCACCTTCCAACATCAGTAGAGAGGAGAGGGATGCACTCACCACTCTTAGCAAGGACAAAAACATCATCATTCTCCCAGCAGACAAAGGAAGGTGCACAGTGATTTTGAACCAGAAAGACTATCATGAGAAAGTTATGACACTCCTTAGTGACTTAAACACTTATGAACCTCTGAAAAGAGATCCAGGAAGTGGTTACAAGAAGAAGTTAATAGATTGCCTGAAAAATTTGGAGCAGGACAAGGCTAATGACCGTATTCTGTACCACAGACTGTACCCAGGGGAGGCCACACCTAGTCTGTAT